TCCACTGCACCATCCTACAGGATCTGGCTCTTCTCTAGACATTTTCCTTCCTTCTTACTGACTTGTATGGTCCAAATTAGTCTTTCAGATTCAAAAATATTTTTTCCAGGCAGTGGTATGGATTTAGGACACCAAGTGATGCTTTGTTGTTTTTAAAATGCATGCAAAAATGGGTTAATGGAAGCAGTCTACAAGGTCTAAAAATATCCTAACTGATTTTTTTTCCTTGCTTCTTTCTTTCCCTTTCATCCTGAACATCGATAGGCCTTGTTTTCAGCCAAAATCCTCCTGTTTGCTATTTCACATTATACTGGGTCATGTAAACGCACACAGTTTAAGACAATACTACCTCCAGTGTCTCTGCCCACTACTCTCAGGAAGAACAGATATAAGTCGTCTCTCCGCTTTTTTGCAATGTTGCAGAGATAAAGACGGCACACATACAGAGTATTAGCCAGAGACACCTCTTTTCTTTATTGTACTATCACCCAGGATAAAAGGAAGGCCCTTAAACATTTGCTACCTACACTGCTTTGAATACATCATAAGGGTTGTTGAGGCCATTAGAAGGATAGACATTGCCAGGGAAAGGGAAGAGATGGAAGAGATTAAAAATGAAGAGGATGAAAAGGGCAGGGAACAAAGAGAAGGTGGCCCATACTTACTATATCCACTCATCCATATTACATGACAAAACGAAGACAGTAAGACAAATACTCATCCCATTTATCTTCTGTAATTGCCTGCGTATCCATGCTGTTCTGCAGGAAATATGCACTGTTCTTTTGCACTTGCACACACATACACAACTCTGGACTATTTATAGAAACAGCACAGGTTTTAGTGAAAGCCAGCCAGATTTTCTGAATTCCTTTTAGGAGGCTTCTTTCTGTATCCACATCATTTCAGGAAGGGAAATCACTGGTTAATGTAACTGAACATCTATTCTTATGTTGTCTGTATCTGTACAAGAGAGCACAATCACTGAAATAAACAGAGATGCTTATTGATATTTTCAAGGTAAAAAAGAAATAAAAAGATATACTGTAACAGTGTTACCCATAGTAGATAGCTGTACTAAGAAAAAAAACACCAAAGCAAACAAATAATACCCCAGATTTCCCACTGTTACTTGAAAGTGACCGCCTGCATGAATTTTGGTAGTCATGAAAGGATTTACCTTACTCATATTTCTGTGTTTGTTTGCTTTAAGAAAAAAAGACAAAGCCTATTTCACATTTTAAGAAGCAGCACAAGTTATAAAGAGATTGTTATGTCCTTGCAAAATAGAGGGTGGGGGTCGCCCATCTTTAAGAAAGGGTAATTCAGTGGAAGAACATACTGATGCATAATTTGTATATGACTGTGGAAACTGCATTCACTTTAATGATAAAAGCCAACTTTGAAGCATTGCTCCAAAACCAGCATAGGAAAAAAAAACACAAAGAAAATACACAGACAACTTTATAACCACTATCAAGATTCTCTGTTAGGGACAAGCTATCTCAGGAGTACAAATACATTGTAAGTTCATACACTTAAACTCAGATCCTTGAGTGCACAGTGTAAACACAGAAGCCACAAAAATAAACTGCAAATAATTTTGAAATAGTAGCACCTACATAGGAAATACTAAAAACTAAAAAATATCTGAAAACTGAAGTCAATCATGTGTTAATAAAGATGAGGTGTTTCTTCATTTTATTTGCTTTATAGAATAGACTCATAGAATCACTTAAGTTTGAAAAGACCTTTAAGATCATTGAGTCCATTAACCTAGCACTGCCAGGTCTGCCATAGAACCATGTCCCTAAGTGCCACATCTGTGCTTTAAATACCTCCAGGCATGATGACTCAACTACTTCCCTGGACAGTCTGTTCCAATGCTTGATAACCCTTTCAGTGAAGAATTTTTTCCTAATAATCTAAGCTAAACCTCCCCTGGTGCAACTTCAGGCCGCTTCCTCTTGTCCTATCGCTTGTTACTTGGGAGAAGAGACCAACCCCCATCTTGCTACAACCTCCTTTCAGGTAGTTGTAGTGAGCGATAGGGTCTCCCCTCAGCCTCCTCTTCTCCAGACTAAACAACTCCAGTTCCCTCAGCTGGGCCTCATAGGACTTGTGCTCCAGACCCCTCACCAGCTTCATTGCCTGTCTCTGGACCCTCTTCAGTACCTCAATGTCTTTCTTGTAGTGGGCCCAAAACTGAACACAGTACTCAAGGTGCATCCTCACCAGTGCCAAGTACAGGGGGATGATCACTTCCTTAGTCCTTCTGGCCACACTATTTCTGATAAAATCCAGGATGCTATGGGCCTTCTCGGCCACCTGGGCACACTGCTGGCTCATATTCAGCCAGCTGTCAACCAGCACCCCCCAGGTCCTTTTCCACCAGGCAGCTTTCCAGCCACACTTCCCCAAGCCTGTAGCGTTTAATGGGCTTGTTGTGACCCAAGTGCAGGACCCAGCACTTGGCCTTGTTGAACCTCATACCACTGGCTTTGGCCCATTGATCCAGCCTGTCCAAGTCCCTCTGTAGAGCTATCCTACCCTCAAGTGGATCAACACTCCAGCCCAACTTAGTGGTGTTTGCAAACTTACTGAGGGTGCACTTGATCCCCTCGTCCAGGTTGTTGATAAAGATATTAAACAGAACTGGCCCCAATACTGAGCCCTGGGGAGCACCACTTTAAAGGTAACAGGTACTAGGTACTTTCTTCTGAAGGATGAATTTTCTATCTAGGGTGAGTCAGCCATGATTAACAATTGATACTTCATATTGCGATAATGACAGTTGGGAAGTATATTTTCAGTATATTAATACTGATGAAAATAAGGAATTATTGCAACAATGGAAATTGCAAAAATACATAAGTCTTAACCTACTATCTCATAATCCATCCCTAAAAATCAACTAAGCTTCTAGGAACATAACACTTGTTTGAAAGATCCATATGGTCTTTTAGAACACTCACAGTTGTGAACTTGACTTACAAGGGAGAAAGTGGTTGTTGGTAAGGAAAGTCTCATGATGATATACAACCTGTTTTAACATGGGTAGAGAGAAGAAAGGGCAGCAGAAACATACGTAATAAAACACAAATGCTAGATGGACACTTTCAGGGGCAGATTTTGATTCCTTTTGTCTTTCCTCAATATAATATATCTATGCCAACATTACAGTAGCATCTAGATGAGTTCAGTCAAGATCACAGTAGTTCACAGTCAGTGCATGTTCACTCTGGAACTCTCTGAAGGGCTAGAAGTCTAACAGCAAGTCAGGGAGAATCACAGATAGAGAAAATGCCATTTCAGCATGTGCCACTAAAATGCCTGAGCAAGAAGAGGAGAAAATTGGGAAAGTAAAATGAACTTCTTGAATGTGACAATAAAATTTCCACTGAAATCTTTTTTTTCCTGCAGTGGTAAGGCCATGCCTGTCTGACTTAGTATTAACAAGTAGATTAAGAACATGGGAAAGGCCATACTAGGTCAAATCAAAGGTTCATCTAGCCTGCTATCTTCTTTCACAGAGACATAAAAGCAGAGGTCTCAGAAAGAGTATAAAAGTAGAGCAAATTATATTTGCTCCAAATATTATCCCAGACTTCCAACAACTTATGTCTTAAGGGATTTCTGAAACAGAATTTTCTACTTTGAGGATGTGTTGTGAAGTATCTGCATGAAAGAAAAATAAAAACTTCATTTACTTTGAACGTGCCACATGCTAGCTTTGTGTGATAACCCCTGGTTCTTGTATTTGAAGATACAAGTAGTTGCGCTGTATTCACTGTCTCAATAACACTCGTGATTTTATAACTTGTATTCTATCTTCCCTCAGCCAGCTTCTGTCCAGGGCAGAGTCTTAGCCTGCGTAGCTAGTTCTCTAAGATATGTGTCCAGAATTGTAGAGATACTTAAGATAGAAGCAAATGAAAGGTTTGAAGAGTGGCATAATGATATACTGTATTTTATTCTCTTGTCCCTTCCTGGTAATCCCTTTCAATTTGAGGAGACAAAGCATTTTAGGAAAACTTGGACATTAAGCCTGTTTTAAAACTGTTGATGAATAGTGGAATATGGAATCTTTAATACGTGCTGTTCAGGCTGACATTCCTTGGGTGCAGTGAAAGTGCAAACATAAGTGAAAGGCCAAAAGAAAAACCATCTAGACAGATTCTGGAAGGAAGGCAGGAAGGAAAAAGAAGGTTGGGGGAAAGAGCGTAACAAAATCTTTGACAGGTCCAATATTTAGTCAATTCAAATCTAGAAAATGCCAGCATGTACCAACACCTGAGACTAACACAAAACTTCAGCAAACCAGAGTGCTTGCAGCAGTGCACGTCCTAACAGTGTCCACATGCTAGCGGTTCTCGCTGCTCAGAGTAAGTCTCTCCATTGCTAGAACCTGCGTCTGCTCGTTTTCTACTGCCACATCATTTGCAGAAATCAATGGTATTGTGGCAGCATCACAACTACCAGTCTTGCAAGCACAGCTCTATAGTGCTCCTGAAAGCTGCGTGAGGGTAAGACTATGCAGTGTCTCTTGTGGCCCTGATTAATTTTTTGGAAGCTGGAGAAGTCTTTTGTACATATTATGCATATGGAGTTTTAGGATAAATATGGTTCAATATGGCAGTGAAACATTTTGCTTCGGGATATAAAAGTTATATAGAAGATAGATACTATTTAATTTTGTAAAAGGCTTGCAAATTAGTAGATACTCTAGAAAACATTCTTAAAGTCCCCTCAAACAATAAATTGCTATTCTCATATACAGTTTCTTAAGGAACCTGGAAGAAGAGCTGACAGTACACTTAGACTGCACTGGTTTTCTGAAGTTGAAATTTTAAAAAAGCACATAAATTAATTACGTATTTTTGTATGTTCTGAATTGTTTTGGCTAGTGATTCCAGGATTTGCATGAATCAAGACTGCAGAAAATGCTCTATAATTTTGATGAATTACTGATACTTTTCCTGTCCAATTTCTCTCATCAGTGTTGCTAGTAACAATCCTTGTAGTGGAAGGGATTGCTGTTGCACAGAAGACACAAGGTACAATTTTGGTTTGATGATTTTCTTTCAAAAAATGTAACAGTTTTATAATTTTTAATTAAGCAATATAAGTGAAAGAAAGTATTTGTGTTCGGGTATTAATAGCTCTTGAATTACCAATATGAATTCCGTTATTTTCCATTCCTCCCCCCCCCCCATTTACTGCATTTTTTCCAACTGAACAAAGCCATCCAATCACAAAGAACATGGACATTCACTTACCCAGTTAAAATTCTATGGTTTTAGACCTTAGAGGTGGAAAAAAGCAATCACGGAAATTCATGTTTTCTGTATCTGACAACAAGCTGTTCAAATAGTCCACCCACAAACATTTTTGAAGCTTGCTGAGTGGGGAAGGCATCGGTTTCACAAACCTTATTTTCTCATATGTGGGATTAACCTACACATAAGAGAGAAGAATTCCTTGAACTGACACCTACAGAATTTCCTTGAACAATTTCTGCAGGAGAGACTAAGTTTTCACCCCCATAAATCAAAAAGCTGCCAAGATACCAGTTGAAGGTGATGTAATTTACTGGAGGCAGCTAAGACCTGTATCAGCATGGACTCCCTCTCAAAGGTCTGCAAAGAAAAACTGCATAAATATAACTAAGATTATGAGAGCACCCTGTGGGATCTAGGAAGAACCTAGCAGAAACTACATACCCTGTGTCTTATTCTCTCCAGTTCTGCTGATATCAAGGAGAAGGGTCAAACATATTTAAGAAGAATGTCAGAGACATCATGCTATTCCCAACTCCTTCCTCCTTGGATAAGGAAATCTGAACTAACAAAGCTCCTGTGAACGATCTAGCATGGTGCACTAGCTTAATAAACTGCATAAGCTCAGTCAAGGATCATATTTCCCTGTACACCCTGAAGACGACCTTTGACCTTAAATGAGACCCTTAGTTACCAGTACAACCTAGCTACTGCTAGTAATTTTTTTAACTACCATTGCTGTATTTATTGTATTTGTATATTATAATTCATTCTGTATTCCAACAAATTATTGTAAATAGATATTCAGTCTAAGTACTTCAGTATACTCTGGAATCAGAGCCAAAAATAGTAAAAGCTAACAAGTATTTTGAATTATATTTGCACGGGAATGGAGAAGACGTAAGCCATAAAATAATGCTGCTGTATTGGCAGCCACTGTGACTATTTGACCTAGAAAGAAGAGCATCAAAAAATCTAAATTGACTTGGGTGAAAAAAGTTACTCCCTCTCTTCCTTTCCCAAGGAATACAGGACATATCTGATAAAAAACCGTGTCCTCTTTAGGATATACCAAATCACTAAATTAAACATAAGATTTTCCTAGCTAGCTATTAACAAGTGGCATATTTGGTTTTCAACCAAAATAAATTACTCTCTTCTTTTATAGGATATGCTTTATGTCAGTGTTTTACTTTGGCAAAATCAAATTTATATGTTTGGAGGAGAAATTTATTTGATCACTTTTTTTTCCACTTAAGGTGGGCAGAACATTGGAGTGAATCGCATTCCTCCTACCCAGTGTGACAATTGGGTACGGACAAGTAATGGAGGACATTTTGCTTCACCAAACTACCCTAACATGTACCCACCAAACCAAGAGTGCGTCTATATCTTAGAAGGTACATGCAGTATTTCTGTTTTGTTGTGTTGTAATCTTACTGTTAAATGGATAATCTTGAACTGTTAAAACTGTGTCATTTTACTATACTGTCAAGTATTGTATAGCCATACTAGTAATATAATCAATTCTGCAGTCATTTGATTGAATAAGAAGCTAACTTTGCTCTCTGAAGTAATAATAGCAAATAAATAGAAAATGCAAACATTCAGGAATTAGCTATACAGAATAAGACATACCCTCACAGACAGAAAAAGCAGCATTAGATCTACTGTAATTTATGAAGGCACAGAACTATTAAGATAAAAATTGTAGCTTGTTATCTTAATATCACTTCCACTATTGCTGATAAACTGCAAAAGATGGTTGAAGGCTATATTCTGTCAATCTCACAAGCAGAAAATCTTTATGCTGTCCTTTATTAATAAAAAAAGGACACATCTGACTGCCATAGCACTGTACTAAAACTATGGAGATTTGTTAGCACTGCTGAGGTCGCTATTTAAAATCATGTGATAAGGACAAAAACATTTTGTCAACTGGAATGAAACCACATTCCAATGAGAATATCTTGGATAAAGGCTGCAAGACTTGGGACACACTAATTATTTTTTCCTCAACCCACTGAAGTCAGCTAAAAACATTATTCAGCTTAATCATCAGATTCATATCAATTAATTGGAATATTTCAAGTAATATGTTTCAGTGAGTTTATATTTGTATATAACCAGTATAGGACTGGTTCGTAGACACCCTTGGTTTTGCTTGTATGCATGCACATCTGAAATTGTGCATCTTCCCTGCCAGTGAAGGCACTGGAGAGCAGATATCCTGTCCAGCTTCCAAGTTCAGACACACCAGATCTATTGCTGGATCTCCCTTGCACAAGGCAGTTTCCACAGGGAATGGAATTGGTTTCCACGCCTCTGTCCTCACCGTCCTTACACAGAAACATTATGAGTATCTGAGTGAGACAAAGGCTCTCCGCAATTTCTAGCTAAGATATGGTCCTTCCTGCGGACCACTACCAATATGTGCAAACAGCTATGAATGTTTTTAAATCACGTATAAGTTAAGGTATAAGGTCTAAGCAGAGTGTTAGAGACATAAATAAATTGGTTTTGCATTCAGAAGCAGCAGACAGCATGTGATTCTTTAATGCTGTCATTCCAGATACCAATTAGTATCTGCAAGTTCATGTAGCTCAATAGATGACAAGAACAAGAAACACTAAAGCTATTCATACAGTATAAAGTCACAGTTCCAAACTACAGCTGTGAAAGTCCAGTCACAAAGTAGCCATAGCTGCATCTCATCAGGATTTAGGGGTCTGATCCAAATCCTGATGTTAGGATGTCACTAGTTCAGACTTACCAACATCTGCAGTTACCAGCATATTAATAATATATATATATGAAGCATTTACACTTATCTGAATATTCTAATAAAAGATGTCTCCTGCCAAAGGATCTGCAAATTTGGGCTTAATGTTTGGGAAAGATACAAGTGAGTAGTTCTTCATATCTTTTTCTTTTCCATTCTCTTCTGTATCCCTCAATGTTTTGTCCTTTTTTAATATACTTTGCTTTCACAAAACACTGGTTTTAATTTATATCTTAATATTAAATCTTATTTTAATACCTTTGCATATATGTTAATATCTGTTACATTGCTGTGTTAAATTTATGTCATTTCTGAATGTTCAACAATAAAGATCAGCAAGCAACAGAATTCTGTGAAAAAGTATCTTCTTCATAATCATTTTTGAAATTTTTATTACAGCGTATCTGAGTTTTTGTAGCAGACTGCCAGATGTATTTTGAGAAGTTTCCTGTCTTTTTTATATCTTGCTGTTTTGGAGGCCTGTCTCTTCATTATTTCATGTCTGTGTGTGTCTTTTATATAGGTCTTCATTTAATCTTTTGCTCGATTTTTTATGTCTAGCTGCTCCACGACAAAGAATTGAGTTGACCTTTGATGAACCTTATTACATAGAACCCTCATTTGAATGTCGGTTTGACCATCTGGAGGTTCGAGATGGACCTTTTGGTTTCTCCCCTCTCATTAATCGTTACTGTGGTCTGAAAAGTCCTGCACTAATTAGATCAACAGGGAGATTTATGTGGATCAAGTTTACTTCTGATGAGGAGCTGGAAGGAAAGGGATTTCAAGCAAAGTACTCATTTATACCAGGTAAAGATGCCTAAAATTCTAACCGAGTTAATGACCATCTGCTCCCATTGAACCCTGTGGATGTGTTTATGCTGGCAGTCTAGAGCTGAATTTCATAAGTGCTTATGAAGGCAAAGTGACAGTGCAATAGTTACAGTCTCAGTCCTGCTAATCCTACAGCATACTTGACTAAAACCACTTTGGAAAATCGACTGAAGGGACTTACAGGTCTATAGTTTGCTAGTGAAGAAGTCAGTTGATCTTGTTCATGCTGAAGGTTTTAGCAACTTCCCTCTTTGTCACTCTAACTTGTACCAGTTTCACTGGTGGTAGTAATGGAAAGAGCATTTATGTAGACAAATAGCTGGCATTTCAACAGCCTATCTTCTAGGAATATAAGGCACTAAGACAAAAACACCTGGAGCAAACCTACAATAGCACTTCCAGCCAGATGCAAAACATTTTAAATCTCCATTCTGAAAAGCCAGAGGAAATATCTATACAGTCCAAACATCAGCTCTCAGCATAACTAGATTGCCTCAAACTACAGGCTCAGACAACGGAATTGTTCTTTGCTCAAAGTACGGTGTAGTTTACAGGGCATGAGGGAGAGAATAATATGCTGACAGTGCCTTTAGACAAACAAAAAGTACATCTGCTCTGTGGGGACACTTAAAACTGGTAGGGCATTCTTTTTAAAAGAAAATAATGTGTAGTTATCAGCATTTTATTGTCGTTTGGGACAAAAGACAGTATATGAGTGTCAGCTCTGTTACTACTACAAATGTATACACAGGCATAACTTTTTAATGTCATCTTTACCCCTACAGCACATGAAAACACTATACATGATTACATATTACTGCTTATAGAACTGTATACCTTGCTAGGGATTTAGACTTGGAAACTCTTCAAATTAACATAGTGCCCAGTCCACTGGGAATAACGTGCTAAAATCTTTTCACAGGGAAAGTACTTACATATTTTGCTAAGTCCATTTCCAAAGCCATTTCATTAACATCACTTTCAAAACTAACTTAGCCTACTTCCAGGCTGGAACTTCAAATATACATTTAAACTTACATTATTTTCACAATAGATTGCAGCAACTGAAGGACTGATATTTTTCTTTCCTTTCCTTTACATTTACATAGAGTGTGGTAAAATACTTTGGGATTGTGAAAATGGAAGGGAGCACACACACATACCCCTACTTCATAAAAAAAAAAAAATAATCAGTTCATAAAGAAGGTTGAAAATCTCTTGCAGAATTTTGCATATAGTGATCATAGATTTCACTATAGGTAACTAAAACAGAGGAAGGCAAAGAAGGCATTTTCTCAACTGTACTGAGTCTTAAGCTCAGGACTGAGGATTTTAGGGGAAGTGATAAACTCCCTATACAGAAAAACATTTATAGGACCACAGAAAGAGCCAACTTCTGGAACTTGATTTGGAGAAGAATTTTGTATAAAACATGCGTGCACTTTTGAATGAACTAGTGCTTTCTTTGCATAAACTAACATTTCACACACATACACCTACTATGATTTCCGTGATTTCTGTGATTTCTGTGGTGTTTTCTATGCCACAGCTGCACACGTGCGCATCGTGTGAGTTTCTGTGCAGATTTGTGAGGAAACACTAGCCTGATCACTGAAATGTAAGCCTTGGATATCCTAGCCCATTACGGCCTCATTTTTAGCGAAGCCCAAGTCTCAGGAAAGTCAAGTACAATCAGTTAACCATATTGAAAAAGTGTATTCTTAACTTGCTAGTAGCATGCATACACATATGTATATGGATACATACATTACCTATACATCACATTTAGAAGAGCTAAGATAGAGGACCAATCAAGGTGAAGTTCTGCCTTCATACATGATGTCTAGAACTGTGCTACCTGGCCTAATAGAAGAGGCATGGGTACTCAGGGAAAAAGTATCTCAAGTATTGAACTGTCCTTCTTTATATTCTTCACTAACAGCAATTTCAAAGTGTTGATATATTCTATTGAACTTCAAATTGTTCAGAACTAGACAGACAACAATCCAATAAAAATGATGCTCACAGAAAGATCCCCTATACTCTTGTGGAGCTCCAGTGATTTCAGTGAAAACTGGCATAGTTAATGTAATATAGGAACAAAATAGTGAATAGTAATTTTTGGTGTTATGCTGGAAACCTGAGCTGTCAGTATAGAATTACCTTATTCAGGTAAGGTCAATCTTTGTGGAAAAATGTTATCATCTGAAAAAAATTCTCTGTTCTCTCCAATCAATTCATTAAACTTTCTGGCAATTTTTATTGTGACATAATAAAAAATGGACATGATCTTCAGATTATACTAAACCTTGAAGTGATTCTCAAGCATTGATAACCCCTGTGATTCATGACTTCTTTCTATTACAGATCCTGACTTCACTTACCTAGGAGGCATTTTAAATCCCATCCCAGGTCTAGTATTACAGTAACAATTTCTTTATACATGAAATTTTAAATTAATATCATACTGCATTTGACAGCAACGTATATGTTCTCCCTAGACTGCCAATTTGAGCTCTCGGGAGCTGATGGAATAGTACGTTCCAGTCAAGTAGAACAAGAAGGAAAAACAAAACCAGGACAAGCAGTTGACTGTATATGGACAATTAAAGCTACTCCAAATGCTAAGGTGGGTTTCATTCATATCATTCAGCATATAATGGGTTTCCAAGTCATTAGTAACAGGTAATAGTCACTGGCTGTGATTTGCATAACGTCTCACTTTTACTGAAATGAATTATTTATCAGTGGCTTAGGAAATCCAGATAGAGGATTGTTTCTGAAATTAAACTTATACAGCAAGTCCACAGTGTTGTCTTCCTATTATTTGAAACTTAAAATACAAAATAACTGTGAAAACTGTTTAAGCAACAACTTTCAAGGGCATTTGATTTGGACTCTGGTTTTATTGGAAGACTGTAGGCAAAAATGCTGGCTAACAGCTTTGATAAATTCCAGTAAGTCTTGCTGCCATGGTTTTAAATTTTGCCTCCACTGGTTCTGTTGGAGAATTTGGTTCTGTTCAAAGTCAACAGAACATGTACCTGCTCCTCCCCAGTCTAATTCACAATCCAGCACCTTAAAACCCACTTTCATCAATAGTCTGAGCTAAAATGAAAGGCTTTACTTGGAAAGAGCTGAGGAACTGTCACTCTCTCTTCTGACTTAGCTACAGGATCACACCCTCTTAAAGTGCCACAATAAAATTTGCTAGAGCTTTTCTGCCCAAGCTCTAAAGAGCCATATTAGCTGCTCAAGCCAAAAATCAGCATTAGTTACCTAGGTACCTGATATTTATGATTTTGCCTGCAGAACTAGACTGCTTATGGAAACATCACGATCTTATGGTCATTAAAAACAACTTGAGCTTTATTGTTGAACACAGAGAAGGATAAAATCCTATTCATAATTCAAAAATACAATAGCTATAGCCTGTTTAAAAAAAAACCAAACAGCTATATGTTTCAGAATCATATACTTGTTAATTACTTGTGAGTTGCACTGAAAGGTACATACTTTTTCCTCCATACAGCATACGCATCTTTAATTTTGCTTCTATATGTGTATTAAAGCGCATATTACTGCTTGCATATACCTAAGAACTAAAAAATATTTTCAAGCAGTAGCTGCCAAGATGACAAGCCTACGCTATGCCTTCTTACACACTCCTAATAGTTAACTAACCAGCCCACCAACTTCCAAATTAGTTCTAAAACAGCAACCTAAAAGATGGTAATAAGAGGACAAGACAAGAAAGAAACTAGAACTTCATTAATATATTTGAGCCTTTGAGGAAGTGACTCAACTCCCAAGAGCCCTATGCTAGTCTAAGTAATAGTAGCAGTTCTTCCAGAAACAATGATAAAAGCATTTTTGCTCTACATTGCCACTTGAGTGCACCTGGCCTTATGTTTAAGTATTTTAATAAATTACTGAACGTTTCTAGAAGGCAGAGTTATAGTTGGGTCAGTCCCGAGATGAGATCATCATCCTAAATTATTGAGTTAAAACATTACAGAAAAATAATTCTTAGTATTCTGACAGTGGTTTCTCAAGCTTCAGTTCTGGCAGAATGATAAAATCCATTAGATCTCAAATGGTGCAGTCTCTTGAGAAAAATAAACATAGGCATTTTTCATTTCCTTAACTTGATCTTGTAATAAAAATAAATTTTTAAAACTGACACAACTGCAGCAATTAAAGGATTTTTTAAAATCTGCATAAGATATTTAATAAATTACCTCCAGATTTCAGAAAATTACTAGAATAATCAATATAATCTAAGAGTGAGAACCCTTTATATTTACTTGCCTAACATTAACCAGAAGGAGCTTTTGCAGAGCTGGGCTCTTTTGATGGAATTATTCCTTTGTTTTCATACACAGAATAGCTCTACTAGACGTGTGCTAACTTACTTTTAGCTTCCATTGTAATTTCATATTTCACATATAAAATCAATCGTTAAATGAAAATACTGTCTCTCAGCCCAAATACTAGCACTTAGAGCTCACAGCCATGTTTGTGACATAAGGCATCAATGGAAGACAGGTTGTCAATGTAGCAGAGAATTTCCAGCAGTAAATCTAACAAAGACAGCAGAAGAAAAAAAAAAAGAAAATAAAATATATATATACACTGAAAATCACAAAAAACAGTGAGATCCAGCATGAGATAACATGGCACAGTGCTAGCAACCTGCCTCTGGAAAACACTGGAAAGAAAGAGCCAGGGTGTACAAGTGTCACCTGTCTTTTACTGTGTTCTTTTACTATGTTTTCAATAGAGCCTGTTAAGTGTATGTGAGGGGGGTTGGTTTGGTTTAGTTAATTCTTTAAAATTCAGTGTTAAAAGGCTTTGCACTAGCTGATGTTAAAAGCAAGATACGGCAAAAGGGCAGGAAGGTAGGTAATAAGCAATAGTAAGTGTGGTACTCATCTACTCCGTCTACCCCGCTTCACAAACTAAACAAGAATTTGAGGTTCTTGTCATTAGGCAGGTGCAAGAAAAAGGTCTTTAGCGGCCATAGTATCAGCCAGAGAGGTAATTGCAAACTGTACTCAAAATACAGTCTAGACCCAAGCTTCTCTGAGGAACATACTGAAGGCCTCATGGATAGAGGAGAAGCACCTCTTCTTCCATGGAACAGGAGAACTCAGCCTCTACATAAATAGATTTGTCCTCTGTCAAAATAATGGTTACCTGAGGAATTTTTAAAGTTTAAATATTGACTTTGCAGCATACTTCGGTGACTTAGTTACATATCTCATCAACTTTCACTAGAATTTTGAGAATTCCAAAAGAACCGTTCAAGATATAAAAAAAACCAAAACACAAACACCATGATCTTTTCATGTAATTCGAACTGAATTACAAACTTGCACAAGTTTCCTGCTCCAGTAAAATAAATTACTTGCTCACTCTTCAAGTGCTATCTTGGTCTTCTAATTTCCTTGCTGCATATGTTCTACCACATACACGGCCTTCTCTTGGATTAGACTTCCGCTTTTGGAGGAATTAAGATTGGTTTAAATTTATTAATTCTTCCTGGATAGCCATCTTACTTTTCTCCTGCTTACATTTTTATTCAAAATACTCCTGACTTTATTGTTTATGTCTTCCATAACACTGTGCTGGTTCAGTAATTAGCTTTCATTCTGAAGCAACAAACTTTTAATTTCCTTATTTTACTTCAGAGCTCTTCTGACTAGACTCCTTCCCTTATATTTTAACACTGTTTTCATGAATTAAAAAGAAAGAAAAGTGAACAGTCAAAATACCATTAAAATTCTTTCAGCACATTTATGTGTTTCTTGTATCTTTATTCTAGAGTAATAGACTGCACATTTAGCAAAGCTTAGAGCTTTCTTTAGCAAGTGTGTTCCTTTTTCCTTTTTTTCCATGGGGAGTGGAAATATATCAGAGTGAATGGTTAAATAAAGATTGTTTTGGGGAGGAGGGAGAAGTGAAACAGATACTTCAGACAGATTTGAAGTAATATTTCACATTGATGTTTAATGAGAAAATGTAAGTTTAAGTGTTGTGAATTGGGAGTCGCACACATGTGTAAGGGAATAAAACATCTTGTTCAAGATTTGCTAAGAAGGAAAACTGTCTTCGCTATATTACTTTTCCTAGAGACATTAATTTCTCTTTTCTAACAGATTTATTTGCGATTTCTCGACTATCAAATGGAGCATTCAAATGAATGCAAAAGAAACTTTGTTGCTGTATATGATGGAAGTAGTTCTATTGAAAACCTGAAGGCAAAGTTTTGCAGCACCGTAGCAAACGATGTCATGCTACAGACTGGGACAGGTGTGGTACGAATGTGGGCAGATGAAGGCAGTAGACTAAGCAGATTCAGAATGCTGTTCACTTCATTTGTGGATCGTAAGTAGATTTTAAAGAGCCTATTCTCCTGGTATAAGGGTACTTTCAGGTATTTTAGGAAAAGCATCAGCTATGTATTATGCAGCAGGAACACAGAAAAAAGGTCATTTGTTTCTTTCACATACTAGCCGGTAAATGAAATACTTGCTTCATTACATTTATAAGCATGGTTCCTGAAGAAAGGCTTTCCTCCATTCTTAAAAGTTTTATTTTTCATTTGAATTCAGTAATAATACAGTCCTAGGCTCCGTTCTTCTCACAAAGAGTTCTACACATGAGCACAGACTTACTTAAAAAGACAGCAATGGGACTCAAGTGTGCTCTTCCACTACCCTCCATCTTCCAGTTCCCTGCCAGACCCCACAACAAGGCACTGCTTAATCCCACACTGGATGTTCAGAAGACTAGAAAACACGTGCAATCCTGCAGAGTCTGGATCTTCTTCCTATCCACAGCCCTACCTTCAATTTTGGATCTGGAAGTGTAGTTCCAGCTACACCTAAGCTGCTAACTCCTTCTCAACTGCATGTGGCCCTGAACGATCCCACACACACTCCCTTAGCAAAGCCCAGTTGTGTTGCACAACCGTGGGTAAGCAGTTAAATTAAAATTTATTTAAGAAGGCTATACTGAAAGCAGAGCTGTAAACGCAGTCTGGATTTCTGTGTTTGGATTCCACAGCCCAGGTTAGAGGTAATTTTTACTCTGGTTGTAAATTAAGGTGCTTTCTTGAAAGCATACTTTTCGTGAAGTTTTCTTCTAAGTGCTTTCCCTTTGAACTTAATGGAATTTTGTTGACTCACACAAAGGATGACATCGTCCACATTGCAGAACCTGAAACTAAGGGGCATCTTCAGCCCAAAAGCAGACCAAGTTTAGAACTGCAGAACAGATCTGAGATACATGGGGAGAGCTGAATAAAACATACCTGCCACTTCAGAAAATGAGACCTATGCTTATGCTAGAGGTTTTCAAAATGTTCTGCTTGAAGAATAAGTATTACAGATTTGCTGTCAAAGAAATAATTTTTTTGACATAACTCACCATAGCCAGTCCTGAAAGGGATCCTGGTCACCACCTTGCAGAAAAGTTCAGGTTACAGGTAACAAGTAGATTTTATACTCTCTTCCATAAAACAGTAAAATTTAACACAGAAGAAAAGTTACTTTCTGTAAAACAGTCTTTCTAAAGTAACAGAGACTTACAATAGAAATAGCTTATTGCTTACTTTGTGTACATGGTAGTAAGAAACACTTGCATGTTTCAAACTAGCCTATTGTTTAACCTACAATAGGCATTTAATAAACTTTAGATATTGTGAATTTTAGTAAGTACCAGTTTTAAGTATAACTTGCTTGCAAAATTTGTTACTGCTTTTCCACTAGCTTTTATTTCAATACAATTATTAATATTAGCGATAGTGCAAGTTATTCCAGCTTTCAATCTAGAAAATGCTGTGAACTTTCCCAGGGAAATTATCCATTTATATTATAAATATTGAAGTGGTTTGGGTTTTTTTTTTTGTTGAGGTGAGGGGTTTTTGAGTGCAAGAGGTTGAAACAGTAACTACTCCTAAAGCTAGATAACTTTCCAAATTTACCATTTTAAAGCAACTCAAACGTCATTGGCAGAAGAAAATCTGCAAAGGTATGTAGTTATTCTTATTTATCTTCTAACCTGAGATCCTGTCTGTCTTGGATAAGGTAATTCAAAAGTATTGTCTGAAAAACATTTCATGTATTTTAAATAATCTAGTGATAAGCAATTTTTCTAACTGAAAAAAGTGAATCCATGCTTATCTTATTTTCAGATCATTAAGCTATTTTTCTCTTCTAGCTTACTAATGATTTGTAATTATATGAAGCCAACCATGAAAACAATCAATATTTCTGAAAAGATTTACACAAGTGAACTAATTGTGCATGACAGTCACCTAACACACACCTAGTGCTGCTTGCAGATTTGACTAAGTAATTGAGCTAACAGCTATGTTAAAAATCAATGTATTTGATTTATGGCTTGGTTCAATACATGAATAATACTAGATAAAGAACACTGTGAACATTGCACCAGTCTTAGGCAGCTGTTATAAGAAGAGTCCAGCTATGTCCTTGAAGTCCTGGACTGGAACTGATCAATCATTGTGACTTTTAGACTTTGTACTCCTCAAATAACAAACAAAAGGAAAACAAAGTCCATTTGTCCCATCTTTATGAACTTGTGAACAAAAGCTATCCCCAAAAAATGTTAAAGAGACTACACAGGAATGTAAAATGGAGACTGCACTGGTGGATAGAGAAGCAGCAGCAGAATGCACAATCCAAAACTACAGAAACATGAAAAAAATACCCCTGTTCAGGGAAATAAGAAAGAGAATGTGTCTTACAACATAATTCTTCCTCTGTGCCTCCACAAGAACTAAAGCTCCATACAGATGAATATTGAAACACCAGCAGATACACATGGATCCATGACAACCACGCTGGACACAAATTTCATAGATCCTCCTTTATTTCACAGTCAGAAACGTTTCAGTAGATATTGGAGCCTTTTTAAGCTATTCTGTTTAAATGCTGATCCTATTTATAAAGAAAAGCTTGTGCAATCTTTCTTTCCAAATTCAGAATGAAAAACTACCCAAGTCTTCTCCCCACGTGCTAATAAGGCCAATAGCCTTTTATTCGGTAGTCTGCATCATGAACATGTCTGTTTTAACTACTAGTCTTTCTCCTGGTTTTAGATATAAAATGGTTAGAAACTGACTATATCTTCCTCTTTCTATGAATTGCTTTAGGTTGTCTGGGATACCTGTTTTCATACTTAGATTGACACCCTTGCATGCTTATCATCATTTAGTCCTTCACAGAGAAGGTGTGAATCCCTTTGGAATTTAATTGCAGCATAATTTTGGATGATGCTTACACCATGATATGATTTCACACGAGGTTTCCAGAATAATGCTTACATTGTGCCTTAAACTATCAATGATGTGAATTGTCTCAGCCATCCACTCTTGATACATTGTACGCGATAGCTTGGCACACCAACACAACCACCAGGTTCTTTTATATTTTCTTCCCTAAACAGTAGCAGTTGGTGAAACAGTTAAGACATAGTTAAGTCCAAATGTAGGAAAGTTTGATTTTATTCTTCCATTTAACAGGTTGAACTTAAAGTCCCACTGAATCACGTCCCACTGAAAAACAGTTTGGCCCTTGAAACAAAGTGGGCATAAACCATTCTTGAAAAAAGGCTGTTGATTTAAGAGCCTGACTAGGAAGACTCCCTGGTCAGAGAGGATCAAGGGGAGTAGGCTTCCCAGGACCATATGCAGTGAGTGGCTGAAAATCTTCAAGGATGGAGACTCCGCAAACCCTCAGGGCAACGCATACCAGTCACGTCAGATGGTATGAAGATAAGGACTTAGAGCATTTCCCTGGATCCCCCATATTTCTCTTTTACTGGTGACCCCAACACGGAGCATAAGCATTCCAGATGCTGTCTCATGAGTGCCATGCAGAGGGGAAGAATCACCTCCCTTGACCTGATGGCAATGCTCTTCCTAATGCAGCTCAGGATGCTATTGGCTTTTTTGGCTACAAGGGTGCATCGCCGCCTCACGTGCCACTTTTTCTCCACCAGGACAGAGCTGCTTTCCAGCTGGCTGGCTCTCAGCCTATACATATACGTGGATTTATTCCTCTGCAACTGCAGGACTTTGTGTTTCCCTTGATTGAACTTTATGAGGTTCCTGTCAATGCATTTCTCCAGCCTGTCTCAAATGGCAGCACAACTGCCTGGTCTATCAGCCACTCCTCACCGTTTTTTTATTATCTACAAATTTGCTGAGGGTGCAGTCCGCACCAACATCCAGGTTAAATGGCTTTATTATTGTCCCCTGGGGTACACCACTAGTGATGGCCTCCATCTGGACTTTGTGCCTCTGACCATAACCCTTTAAGCCTGGCAGTTCAGTCAGTTTTCAGTTCACTCCAGTGTCCTCCTATGTAGTCTGTACTTCATCAGTTTCTCTACAAGGATATTATGGGATACAGTTTTGAAAGCCTTGCTAAAGTCAGTATATACAACATCCACCTCTCTGTCCTCATCCAAGCTAGTAGTTTCATCATAGAAGGCAATCAGTTCGGTCAGGCACGATTTCCTCGTCATAAATTCGTGCTGACTACTCCCAATTACCTTATTTCTAATACGTTTGGAAATGGCTTCCAGGATTATTTGTTCTATCACCTTCCCAGGCATCGAGGGAAGCTCCCATTTGTTCCTTTCAGTAGCAGGCCCATATTTTCCTTGGCCTCCCTTTTGTTGCTGGTACACTTGAAGAAGCCCTTAGTGCTTTTCATGTTCCTCACCATATCCAGGTAGGCGTTGGTTTTCCCAGCCCCATCCCTGCATGCTCACTGTGTATGTATTCCTACCAGGGCACCTGACCCTGCTTGCATCTAACATGACATTTCCTTCATAGCTGATATAATGGCTATGATCTATGCCTCCCTAAGTATTGATCATATTTTAAAAGAAGTATTCTTCAAACAATTCCAAACAATTATATTCTCAGCTCAGCTGAGTAAGGAAGATTCATGTGATAGTTACTATGACATTTTTAAATGCTGAAATTACATAAATAAAACACTTCCAAAGTACACTTTAAATACATTCTGTATTACATTAAAATACTGTAGCACTTGCTCTACAATTCAAGCACAAGCTTCCTATATGGAATTTCTTGCCAGGTTGGCAGGGGTTAAGCAATAACAGGAAGCTAATACAAAAGCTTAAGGCCAACAGGCATAGGTTACCAAAATTCAGTGGAGTAAGAAATGGGAAGACAATGCATATTAGATTTAGGGAATGCAAATTCAGAATTAAAGGTTTAAAATTTTCTTTTCCATTAGGCATAATTCCTCTTTTTGTCACTGAGACTTTGAAGCCTAGCAGAAGGAATAAGTGAGGAAACAGGCTGTATTCAGGACTAGTCACTCTCCTCTGCTGTACCCTTTGGGATTCGCATTACGTTTCAGAGAATCCAGACTGCTCAGGAATAAATTCTTTCTATGAAATCAAATAGTAGAGTGTCTATCACACATCTTTGCTGTTTAATATATAACTAACTCCACTAATAACAGATATTTCTATCATAAAAATGCTACATTACTGAGACAGAGAAGGGGAATATAAATGTCTTGTCCAGTGCCCGGAATTCATATTCTATGTATATTATACATCCTGAAAAGAATTATTATCATTTTTAATGTATTTTTCTAATGTCAAGGAGCTATAACAAATATTCATGGAAACAAAATCTTTAGGGCAACTTTCTAGTTAATTTACTTCCTCAAATTTCTAACTATATATAGACAGATAGATAAAAAGCTAAACTGTACTCTGTCTTAATCCCTGCATTAGCTCTAATAGGAGGATCTAAGAGCTTTGATTCACAAGTAGGAATGACTTAGATGCTTCCAGTTACTGAAGTCTCTTGCAATTACTGAAACAGTCCTCCACAAACTCAAATCTGATTTGCCTTAAGATATTAATGGGCTGTAAAATGCAGATGTTCAGGAACTGCTTCACAACCAGCTGTACCATCTACATAGCAGATGCACAGCAGATAGAATAAATACATAATTGATGGTGAACATGAGATTAAGTATTAAGTTTTTAAGGACAAGTATTAAAGCCTTCTTCTGTGTTGTGTGACGGTATCTGCTACCCATTTTGAGCGAGAATTTTTTTTTTTTTGTAGCATTGATAATACACCTGAAAGCAACCACATGAAGAGAGAGTAAATCATCCAATAATTAGTGATATGCAGGAAAAGTGATTGTGCTTGTAACAGAGATAAAGAATGCGTATGCATGGTGGAAAAAAAAAGCAGGAATTTACTAGTTTTATTGCAATGCATCAGTTACTGAAAATTCCTACTGTTTTCTTTTTCTTCTCTCCTGCAGCTCCCTGCTCAGGCAACACTTACTTCTGCCATAGCAACATGTGCATCAATAATTCTTTAGTCTGCAATGGCATTCAAAACTGTGCATACCCGTGGGATGAAAATCACTGCAGAGGTGAGTAGAGGGCAAAGTATAGCCTTTATGAGCTAGAATGGTCAGTCTGCCTTTCAAGGAAGTCATGAAATGTCTGTTTCCTGGAAATATGCTGAAGACAGCTATTCTGCTAATCTCAGGAAGGTGTTCCAATTTTTTTATTTAAACTCAGGAGACATGTAAGCGTCCTGAATATTGATCTTACTGCTTTAGAATTAAATTTCTTCATCTTCAGCATATACTTTAAAAGGATGTCAACTTGACAGGAAATTTAGTATTTGCCAGGTTGCATCCTATCCATTTCTAAACTTTAAACAAAGCAAGGATCGTAGGGACCGATGTTATCTTTTACTAAAAAAAAAAAAATAAATTATAGGGCTGTAAAAAGACAAGCCTTCAAGCATGAAAAACCTTTCTCAGGGCTGAAATAGAAACAACAATCTTCAAAGACAAATACAATTTTAAAACATTTCTTTTAAGTTGTTCATCAGACTATCTCAGAATAAGTCTCTGCTGCATATGGTGTGAGAAAGGGTGGGAAGAAGGAGGAATGGTTAGGAAGCAAGAAGTCATTGCTTATGGAAAACAGACACATGTAAATCACTGCTTCTAGAACATAGGGCAGGGGAGTATTGTTTAAACCATCACAGCTACAGTAAAAACTTGTTTCAATATCAGGTTTTGTAAGAAAAATTCTAGTGATTTGGGAAAATTGTTACTCTGCTGAAGAACAAATATATTCACCTGTGCTTCAACAATAACTGAATTTTCAGAGTTAGACCAAAACCAGTTTAAAGTCAACAATTTTTCTTACTAAAAGAAAACAATAAAAAAAACCAACCCAACCCTTGAGCTTGGGTGTTTGTTTTTTTTTGACAAATGGAATGGCACAAATAGGTCTGAACACAGAACTCCAGAAAGATTTAAATAGGTGCTCCATTTCAAAGAGAAATTGACCTTGCAGGAAAGGTTAAAACCTTCTCTAAAGAAAATCTGGAAATAAAATGGTTTTTCAACACACAAATCCAGCTTAAATTTTTTAGTAAATAAATATTAAAAGAACTTCTTTGAAATTGCATTTTGGGCAAACAAAGAAAAATTCACACCACTAATAAATACTCTAATGCAAGATATGTTATGGGAGCTTTCCAGTTAACAAAATTGATCCATAACTCCCAAGTTTTCAATGTAAAAGTAGGCTTCCTCTAAACAGTCCTTAGCTTTGATAATATTCAATAGTCCCTCTTAAGTGTAATTTCTAGATCTCTTTCCCATGTTTACCAACTGCATTCTGGAATCTGGCCTAGAATTGATACTTCACTCAGGCACTGCAGTATTTAAAAAAGTGAATTCCATTAAAACCATATCACAACATGAAGAAAGTGTCTTTCTCAATATTTGTAAATTGAGATATCTGGTGCTGAATAACCTACCAGGTTTTATGTTGAATACAATCTAAATTCTGCTTTAATACTTGCACAGCAGAAATTAAGAGACAGCTGAAGACTAGAACCATATTGCCAGCTAAGGTCCCTTAGGACAAGTACCTTTACAGAACAGAAATCCAACTGGAAAATTAAAATTCTTATTTGAAGATTAAAAGTATGGAAAACCATCTTGTTCTGATGCTGCCATCTTGTGTGTTTTCATATGAAGTACTAGCCAAAAGTGCCACATGATTTAGGTTGGTTGGTTCCCCCCTGCCTCCCCCACCCCTTTTTCTTTCCCCCAACTGACTTGATTACTGGACTGTTAAAACTGGAATATCTCTCTGCTAAAGCTCCCTGTGTTGAAATAGGTATAACACACTCACACAATAGACACAGTCATTAAATTCCCAAGAGATATGAAAACAAGTAATATAGTCAATCTTACATCATGGCTATGATATTTCACTTTTAAAGAACTGGATCATTTTAAATCTAGGTTTCCTTCTACTGGCATCAATGTGATTATTGCCAGCAGGAGCGTACCATAGTAAGAGAAGCATCATCTGTAGCTGTATAAACTCCTATTTAACTGGTGGATTTTGGAATATGAACTAGTCAGTATAGGTTCAGGATTGAAGCCACATCCCAGCTGAGACAACACACACAAGCCACAGAGTTCCACCTGCCACTGAATTATCAGGTGGTAGCCACTAATGCAGACAGGGCATTAGACTTGCTGAATAAATGCACAGATCCAGTATGGTAAATCCCACTGACAAACACGTCTCGTCTCCAGTGCCATTAAGTCATTTCATTAATACAGCACTTAATGACAATAACAATACAGCTTGCTTTGTTTTAATACATGATCAAGAGTGTGGAAAATAAAAGCCTTATAATCCTCATCTTTACTTTGCAGAAAAGAAAAAAGCTGGACTGTTTGAACAAATTACCAAAACTCATGGAACAATCATTGGCATCACATCTGGAATAGTTTTAGTTCTTCTCATCATTTCAATTCTAGTACAAGTAAAGCAACCTCGCAAAAAGGTTATGGCTTGCAAGACTGCTTTCAATAAAACTGGTTTCCAGGAAGTATTTGATCCTCCACATTATGAACTATTTTCACTAAGGGACAAAGAAATTTCTGCAGATTTGGCAGATTTATCAGAAGAACTTGAAAACTATCAGAAAATGAGACGCCCTTCAACAGCTTCCAGATGCATTCATGACCACCACTGTGGCTCCCAGGCCTCTAATATAAAACAAAGCAGGACAAACCTCAGCTCCATGGAACTGCCCTTTCGCAATGATTTTGCGCAGCCTCAGCCAATGAAAACATTCAATAGCACATTCAAGAAAAGTAGTTACACTTTCAAACAAGCGCATGACTGCCCTGAGCAAGTCATAGAAGACAGGGTGATGGAGGAGATTCCGTGTGAAATCTATGTTAGAGGAAGAGAAGATACAGCACAAGGTTCATTATCTATTGACTTCTAATTTCCTAGTGGAGGTGATATCAGTGTATATACAAGATGCTTGTGTATAATGACAGTGTATATATTAACCGTGTACTATATGCAGCGTGTGAGATGCACACACACTTTTAGCTTATTATACTTAATTTTAAAAAAGTGAAAATCTTCGTAACTAATTCTTACTGAAAAATGGTGAATTTCCTCCCATCTTCCCAAGCTACCTATTTAGCAGAGGAGTAAGACAGAGACTTTGCATGGAAATTATAAGTTAAGGATATTGGAAGAAAAAAACCCAACAACTGCTAATCATTGAACTCTGAAACAATGACTACTACTCTCTTCCTCATACAATTTTCTCTTTAGACGTCTGCTTTTCAAGACAATTTTAATACCTCAGTTACATAAATAAAAGTAGTTAAGTGCACCACGTGTATGTCAACATAGGTGTCTTACTGTATTTGTCAAACTGAAAGTAGTTAGTGTTAAGTGCCAGTTAAGACTCAAGAATTATGTTACAGCCATCTGTTTCATCTTGCCTACCATTTATATTGCCTTTAATTATCAGTTCCTCACTCTATGCTTTGTGAGAAGTGTAAAGGATTACTGCCTTTTAAAAATAACTGAGTTAGATTAATTTTAGTACATTTGGAAATATATAATCTTTGCTGCTTTTGGTTAAAACACAAGTAAGTACTCATGTTATTCTAGATGTAGACATTTACAACAGTTTTCTTTCAATAAGGTTTAGGATTTTAATCTATTATGCCATATATCATAGATCCATATGGCACACTGATTTCACAACTCTGTAGGTAGAAAACAGCTTTGTTCCTGCATTTTCCAAGTATTTACATAAATAGACTGTACTGTACATTTGTCTCTTAAAATAGCTTTTTACTCCTTATAGCCACCAATCTTCCCTGCTGAAATCAGTGGTGATACTTTTAGCTCATGTCCTACTTGCCTGAAGAGAACTGCTCTGAGGTCTGTGTGATTATCAGATATACGAAGATACTGGAAACAAATCACAAAGCAACTCTTATTTATGGAACCCTTCTTGTGCCCCTTGTTTCCACTTGAAAAATTGCACATTTCATACCTTTTTTAATGGTGGTTTGGACCTAATTTTAAAATTTTTACAATATAGCAAATTTTTTAAAATAAAATAATTCTCATTGTGGTTTTTAAAATTTTTATATAGTTTGATACTGTACAGAGTATTTATTAAATCAAAATTTAGCACCTGTACAGCAGGCTTGTTTCACTGTCCATATTAGCAGCTCTGAATAACACTCAGTGGCTGCTGCGTACATCGCAGTTTGCCAAGAATACTAAGTATGACTTCCACATTAGCCTACATTTTATTCCCTGATTTGTTTGGGTTTATTCTCGTTTGTTTGGTTACAGGAAACCTTTCACTAAAGATGACCCACCAGCTTGCACTGGGCATATCCTTTATTTACAAAAGTATGTAAAACCATAGTGTTTGTTGTGCTGACTGTAGTACAAAAAAAAAAAAATACAACCTTACCAACTGAAAAATCTTTTGTTTAAAATAAAAGGTGAACAGCTGTTATCACAGATTTTCATTAGAATAACAAAGAATATTTTTTTTTTTTTTACAAATGCTTAGAATGTAAGAAGTTTAAATAAAAAAAATAATGTGTATCTTCAACACTTCCCAACTTCAAAATTAGCTCTGTCTGATGTCTAGAAGGAACTTAATCAGAAGCTCATAGATCAGACCTCTAAGGCTCTATCCTGGTGTCAGTTTTTGTGCTGGTCCCAGAATGTATTTCAATTTGAAAAAATGAAAATGGGCATTATTTTTAGATGCACTTCATGCAGAAGATAAGTGATAAAAAAAATCTAGTTAATTTTGACTTGAAAGTTTTTGAATATTTAATTAAAACATTTCTTGACAGATTTCATTTACTCCTCATTGATTTCAGTAATATAGATCTCACTATGACTTATATGATACAGTATGTTATTTATGATAGTCTATTAGTTCCAGATTCTTTCAACAAGTAATATGTAGTTTTACACAGGTTATTTTTGTCCAAATAACTCTTGTAAGTACTAGGTTTGCACAATTAAATTTTCTTTTCCAGGTATATTTGTCCATGTGATAAAAATGATGTGATCCCCATTCATTCCTAAGTTATGTTGTCTTTGAACAGTAAACCTGTAATAATAAAACAAATGGTAAGCCTGCAAAGCCCAAGTCTGTGGAGAAAAGGGAAAAAGCTCTGTTGAAGAAGTTCCCAAATGGCCTGAATAATATTTCAGTCTCAATTGTAACTTTTTGATTACATGGTCAGAACACAGCTGCTTTTTGGCAACCCCAGAGCACATAGGTGGGCTCCCATAACCAGTCATGTCTAATGTGCATAACTTGTTCCAATATCCCCAAGCCCAGCTCTACAAGCTTTGCTTTCCCCCCTTCCTTGCTTCCCAATCTGTTTTTTTGTCTTTAGCATAAATAAAAGCAAAATACTCCTGCCTAGTTAGCACCTGCTCCTGATTCCCAATACAAAGCAAAAACTGTCCTGGAGGGAGTTTTTCAGTATTTCTGTAAGAGCAGACCAAACCTTTACTGTGACAATATCTGTACAGTTGAACAGATCTGAGAGAGAAACCCAAAGGAATAATAATTTCTTTAGGCTGCTATAAATAGCAATGGCAGGAAAATGAAATATCAGTGCTTTTTTTTTTTTTTTTTTTTTTTTTTTTTATTACAAGCAAGGTGAAGTTAACATTGAACCTAAACATCTGAAAGGAAAACTTGGGTGAGGTGTGTTTAAAAAAATAATAGGTCTATACATCTCATTGTAATGTTGGGTTTAGTTACTTCGCTGGGCTTTAACAAATGAGTGATAGCCATTAGAGCCAGAATTCCACTTCCAGTATAATCAAATTCCCTTCACTACAGCGAAAAACTAACTGGATGGGCTGGTTGGTATCACTCAGTGCAGAAAGCTGACATTTTCAGCAGAAGAATCTAGTATTGGTTTTGCAGTCTCTTTAAACTTTTTTTGGCATTAGCAAAAAAACACCACCTTTCATATTGTTGCAATATCTAAGTACTGTTAGTGTGCTTCCATTGTCTCCATCAAAAATCCATACATTTCTAGGAGCATTTTGCACTTGATTGTACCTGTATCTTTGATAACCTCTGATAACACTGAATGCACATAAGCAAAGATACATTCCCTAGACACACATGGACCAGGAAAAGGCCAACAGCATTAACTACTTGGTATTTAAAATTCATTTTGACCTTTTATTATAGTAGCTTAGACTGTCTAACATGAAAAAGGATTTGTTGTGGATAAAAGTTGTAGCGGTAAATGTACAGCCAACACAAAAATAAAAGTGACGGAACCATGATTCTTGAGAGTTCTGTAAGGAGACATCTGCATTTACAGATAATGACAACAGTGGTACAGGAAACTCAGGCTTAACACTGTTACTGACTCAGTGTTTCAGTGATCACAGAAATACTGATATGTACTTAAAATGCATGAGATTCTCTTGTCTGCTATAGACAAGATGACCCTCTTTGTGCATACAAATCATAATGGCATATTATAACAATTACAGTCTATTTTTACTAAACCAATACAAAGACAGGTTACAAAAAGAGCTGCCATTGACTTACAAGAAAACATGCTTGTCATGTGAACACTTCACATAATTTAAGTCCTTAAAATACACTTTGTTGGCTTTTTACTTGGTACGGAGAATTGTGCATTAGCAGCAAACCTGCTAAATTAGGAAAAAAGGCTCGCCTTGTTTTCAAATCAATTTATTCCTTAAATAAGAAGATTCTTATATCGATGATCATAACATTTAAGTTTCCAAACTATTTAAGTATAATCTTTTATCTAAAAGACTACCGACAGCAAAAGTAATGAAAAAGACATCTTAGCACCTATACCTGAGAAGCCAAGAGGAAATGGAACTTAATTCATATGGATATACAGAAAGATATCTAGTTTGATCTTCCTGTAAGGTCAGTCTCTATGTATCTGTTGACAGTAAAACTCAGTCAAATCCATTTACTTTTACATGTCCTTATTTCAAAGTTGATGTATGAGCCCTGTAGGCTGTTTACAAAACAAGATTCCTGATCTGTGATAGCCCAAAAGATAAGCTGATTTTATGTTATTTGGGATCACACTGTTACAAACTGAATATTAATTATAATGGGAGAAAAGCTTAGAAAATAAAATCCCTTTCTTTGAGTTGATTCATGCTTTGAAAATGAGTATTTATAGCACCTATCTCAATCTAACAATATAAAGGATACTGCCTTTAAGACTTCTGTTCCCATGGTTTCCAGTAACCATCTCTGTAAATCCCCACTATAAATATACAATTAAATCACATGTCAATATGCTCTAATATGTGGGTCTATGTCACCATGGAGCTCCAAGTATATTTTGGCATTCAAAGTCCTTTGCTACACTGCATTTTACAGAATCAGCTTAACAAAAATCTGTTTTCCATCTGTTTCATAGATCAACACCAACAACAATAATTTATGAATTGTAAACTTGTTCCCTCTTATGTAGCTATTGAAGATAATCTACCATATACCAGATAAAAACAGACTTATAAAAACTAAGCTGTTTTACAGAGCCAGGCTCAGGGAAAAACAAAGTTAAGAACTTGATATATTTGTATGCCTCTCCATTGCCATCACATAATTTATGGTAATAGTTTTATACTGGAGAAACTCATGAAATTTATGTCAAATTCTGTTAAAGAAAAAATAAGTTCTTATAATAAACCAGATAATGGTTACCTAAGACCCACACATCTCAAAAATTAAAATAATTTGCCGTTTTGGAATCTGAATCACGCCTTCTGAAGTGTAAGAGCTGCCAATGCTGCCAGTGTACTTCAGGCATGCACATAACACCATCTTCTCTGAACAACAACTTCTCCTCCCAAACACAGATTTCCTAGATATCTTGAAAGTTTTAAATCTTCTTTCATTATTTTATTAATTTATATATAGATATAAGCGTATTATTTACATCTTATAATTAACCTCAAAGTACATTGCCACCTACAGAAAAGTTGCATCTGTCTTCCTTCCAGATATATTTAGGAACAAGAATTATATTGGACAAGTATTTATCATAAAACCACAGCATTTCAGAGTTTAAGCATTATGTTAATTTCTGAGTTTATATTGCTGCTTATTTTTCACCTGGAAAGTAAGAGACTACAAGGAAAACTCAAAACTCACAGGATTATCTCCTTAACCTCAAATGAATATGGATAAACTGGAACAGAGTACATCAGTGTTCTAATACTCAAGGTTTAGTATTTTATGGGGAAAGTAATATCGGAATTAAAAGGGCATGTGTTTTTTATGCAAGAGCGTTTAGTTTGCCCTCGATTATCACA